ATAACATCGGAGATCTCTGTCCAGAAGAGCGCAGTCCTGGGAACAGCTAAGATACTGCGCAGGACCCTCAAGCTCCCAGGCCTCTGGTAGAGGACCCAAGCTTGAAGGATAAACCGCCCGCAGGGGCGTGCTGGGTGTTTATATATATATATATGTGTGTGTGTGTGTGTGTGTGTGTGTGTGTGTGTGTGTGTGTGTATGTATATATGCGCATTCAATTCAATTTTGTTATATACAAATTTGTAGATATGATTTTCTCAAGTCAGACATTTGAGTTTGATTAGTTGCCATGATTTATATGTCAAGCGTTGAAATAAAAAGATTCCTTAATATATAGAGAACCCTAAAAACCTTTCAATTTTCTCTCCTTTCTTGTCTCTATTTCTCTTTTCTGTGCCTCACTCCTTTTTACTTTTGTTATAAAGGTGATGCTGAACAGTCCTAAACGGATCGAAGAGGAGAAAGCCAAAATGGCCACAAAAGAAAAAGCTTTGAAGGAGAAAGAAGGAAAGAAGCCTTTAACTAAACCTAACAACACCATCAATGGCACTGGTGGAACACCAATGCACGTCAACACTCTGCAGGTGATCACAACTTGGGTAACTGACTTCTAAAATCTGTAACTATAGTGTATTCTGCTCTTTTACATTGTTTGTCATAAGTGCACATCTATCCTTAAAAATCAATACAAGAAAAAAAGAAAAATTTTGAGTCTAATAAAGAAAAATACGTGCAGGTCAATACTTAAATTGTCTAATGCATATAAAGGAAATGGCAGGTCAAGATCACCTCAGGCTTCATGCATGCAGCAGTGAGTGAAAAGAATACTAAAAGTATGGATGTGCACAAAAAGCAAAAAATGATCCAGGAATTTTTTTGATTTATAAAGCAATACATGAGCATATATATATACATATATATATATATAGCGATTAGACATCATAGGATAACTGGATATACCACACTAATGAGAATGCATGGTTACTTTGTAACCCTGGGATTCAGAGTAAAAGTCTACAGTGGCTTGCAAAAGTATTCGGCCCCCTTGAACTTCTCCACATTTTGTCACATTACAGCCACAAATATGAATCAATTTTACTGGAATTCCACATGAAAGACCAATACAAAGTGGTGTACACGTGAGAAGTGGAACATTTTTTACAAATAAATAACTGCAAAGTGGGGTGTGCGTAATTATTCAGCCCCCTTTGGTCTGAGTGCAGACAGTTGCCCATAGACATTGCCTGATGAGTGCTAATGACTAAATAGAGAGCACCTGTGTGTAATCTACTGTCAGTACAAATACAGCTGCTCTGTGACAGCCTCAGAGGTTGTCTAAGAAAATACTGGGAGCAACAACACTATGAAGTCCAAAGAACACACCAGACAGGTCAGGGATAAAGTTATTGAGAAATTTAAAGCAG